TAGAAATGCAGAGCCCAGGCCCCAGCCCAGATCTACTGAATTATTGCCTGCATATTCACACTCCTCCCAGCAGATTTGTCCATTGTCACAGTAAAGGGAAATAATATCTGTTGCTAAACAGGACGGTACCTCAATTGTCTGCCAGTCTACCCACTGACTCTATGTGAACCTAGGTGTATCATTTCTGCAGGTTCTTTTTATTCTGCTTTTTTTTTTTAATCAAAGAGTACAGGGTACCACCGAAAATACAATTTCTGGTTAAAAATCTCTTCCCTTCTGGGGCTACGTACCTATGGCTGTGAGGCACCTCTCGATATCGCCTTTCAGCTCCAGGTCCAGAGCCTTGTTCATGTCATGCTCACTGTACTTGGTGTATCTCTGAAACACTGAACATTAAATTTAAATAAGATTGGATCCTGTCACTCTTCAGCAAACTTTCACAAAATCGGGGTCACTGACTCTAGGAAGTCTTTGGGAATACCGAATTTCAGCCACTTTTTCAAAAGCTGTTCACATATCTTAGCATAATTTGGAGATTTTGTATTCTTCTAGGAATGCAAATCCTGGACATGGACATTTTGATAAGCCAGAGTATTTTGAAGGCAATATTTCCCAAGGGTAATGGCTATTCAACATGGCACGTTACTGACAATACTAACACTACACAGAAACATGCACCACAACAGATGGATCTTAGCCAATGAAAAGATCTGCCCCATAAACACTCTGGTTGAAAATTAGAAGTCAGAGTGTTACTATCAAATAATTAACTTTAAGTAGACATGACAATGTTACCCTTACCCTGGCTTCCAAGAAGGAGGTTGAGGGATAAATTTCCTGCATAAAGGCTCTTTCTAAATTCTGTTTGTTTGTTTGTTTGTTTGTTTCATTTTGTTTTGTTTTTCTTTACTGGAATTTCATTTCCTCTGTAGTATGTGACTGTTGTTCTAACTATTCCAATTTTTTTTGAATAAAAACAGTGTTAATAAAGAAATGCCATGCCAATGGCAGACACATTTACAATACTGTGACATGAAGCCTGTCCAGTTGCAAGGATGGACAGACAGTAATAATGTCAGGACACAGGACAGACGCTGATTAGGACTTCTCTCTTCCCGTTCTTTTGCGTGCACTCAATCGGAAAACCTCATTGTCCCCTACCCAGGTTCCAGAATGATTTCTGTTACCTCTGCGAAGATGGGGGTAGCTGCGGGTGGTCAGAATGGTGTTGAACACATTTATGTCTGTCCCCTTTCTTCTTTCTCCAGCTTCATATAAAGCCTGTCAGGAAACACGGAAAGAAATGCTTGACGCTGCTGCAGCGACATTGGCACAAGAATGTCAGATCTCTTCAAATATTTTACAGGCAAGTGCTTTGTGCTCGATACAATCCAAGTAGGCAAACTCAGTGTGTATGTTCCTTAAAGCCAGGGGACTTGATTTGTTTGTCAAGTACTTTGCACAGTATCTCTCAAGACCCTTGACGAACACTAGCAAGTGAATACGTGTTTACAGAATTCGTGATTGCTGAATTGCTTTCAGACTGTGTTCTATCAAGACAACTCCAAAGGACCCCTGAAGATTTTCTTTATTCCTTACAGTTAAAAGTTACTTATCAGGAAATGGTACTTGTAAAGTAATAATTCAGCCACAACATAGCTCTTGCACTTTGCTCAATGCAGGAATTTTGACCTGCTGTTTCCAACCTGGGCCTGTTTACTGCTCCTTAGGCAACCTGGTGGCCCGCCGCTGCCCGGAGTTCACCATATTGATGCAGAACTTAGTGCAGACACCCTATGTGCAGAGCACACTGCACCCCAGAACTCCTGGACTCAAGCGATCCTCCCAGCTCAGCCTCCTATAGCCAGGACTACAGGTGTGCACAACCACGCCTGGCTTGCGCTTTGGTATTACAATTTAAAAGTTGTGTCATCTTAGGCAAATAATTTAACCTTAGTAATCACCACTTTCCTGTGTTTTACAAAAGTGAAAAAGCTAATTGTTCCCTAATTATTACAAGTACATTCTGTTAACTTTGGAATGTTAATTACGATCGTCATTCTGGGTCAAACTAAACCGTATAGTGTCATAAATTCACATTTGGAGCCCTGATAATCTTAAGATAGAAACCATACTTAGAAATGTCACAAGCAAACAAGAATAATATTTGTTATGGGTAGTTATTCAAATAATAACTCTTGTTTTAGATATGCTTGCATAATCTCTATGAAAATACTCAAGCTTCCAATGGTTACAAAAATGTATTGTTCACATTTCAGGCAAACACGTCTGCCTTGTATGTACTTCATTTAACAAAAACTTGATTAGTGCGTATCATACGTGAATAGTGTACTTCTGGAACTAGACAGATGTGGGTGGAGAAGGCAAGTAAGTTTCTACTCATACTGGCTTAGTGTGGCAAATTTCATATACAGAATAGTATTCTGTAAGGAAAGCATAATGCAAATAATATTGTTCAATATTGTTGAAAATCAAATTTTCATGTCCTAAAATAGCATTTATCCTAATGGTTTGGTGCATCAATAACAAGAAACCTCGCTGAAACAATATGTAACATTATATAGCATAGGAGGATTATATAATACTTGATATGCTATATTATTTTAAATATTAATTAACATCAATTAATATTTAAGTTCCAAAATCATTTTATACTATAAATTTGTATCTATGAACTATCCTAATTGTCACAGTTAAAAGAGTGTTTGAGATTGGATGTGATGGCTCCCCCTGTAATCCCAGCACTTGGGAAGCTGAAAACAGGAGGATCACTAAAAGTCCGATCTGTGTAGTGAAACCCTGTAGACGCTGCACTAAATACAACAAATAAATAAATAATTTTTTAAAAAGAATGTTAGGTTACCCACTGTTTCTATTTCAGGAAAGCCAAATCAGATTTGGGAAAGATAAATTTTCACTCTTCTCTTGCAATCCTCTCTGGATTTATAAGCTCTACTGAAAATGTAAAGCCTGAAATTTTTATTCTTAGGCTACAAGAATGTGGATCCCACTCAGGAAATGAGCATTACAGAACTTCTGACTTCTCAGGTAATATGGGATTCAGTTTCAGGCCTCAGACATCAAGTGGTGACCCAGCATTAGTGAGGCGGGTGGGTTCCAGCGCCACTCTCAGAGCCCTGCCTTACCCTGGCATCTGTGTCCACCAGGTCTTCATTCACACCAAGATCCTCACATCGGTCACCCTGAAAATAAATCCATCTGGTTATAAGTGTGTCTGTGCCACGTGATCCTATGATTTACTTACCTTCTTTTAAGCCAGATAAATAATATTCCTTGAACAAAAGAGGACCACAAGGAAATCTTAACATTTGTGATGTCAGGAAGGAGCCGAAGGACAGTACACCAAGGGAATTAAGGCAGGCAAAGAAAGACAGAAGCTCCATAAACTTACTTTTGTGTGCAATTTGAAAAGGTTGAGTAGTAGGGAGTAGACGGATGAAAATTAGAGAGGATGAAGAGAGGGAGAAGAGATGGGAAAATGCTGGTCATGGGATGGAAAATTTCTAACAGTTAGGGAGGAATAATAAATTAGGGCCTTCTATACAGCAAGGTGACTATAGTCAATGTAACATACTGCGTATGTGTAAGTGACCAAGGAAATTTCAGATGTCTACCCATAAGGAGTGGATAAGTCATTAGCTCATGTGACCTATCTTTTTATTAATTTCGCATATTCACGTATGAAAACATCACACTGTATCCCATAACATATATAATTATGATTTATCAATGAAAATTTAAAAAGGATTTATGCCTCATTTTTAGAGAGAGCTCAGAGCTAAGGTTTTATTCTTCATAAGAGCAGAGGCATTTCTGGGAGTGTTTGCCTTGTACCTTAGCGAGAGAAAGCAGAGCCTTCCGGAAATCTCCAGATGTGTCTGTGGTGATGTCTTTGGCCAAATCTCTTTTCAGTTCTGAGAAAGAAGGAAAAAAAAAGTATTTCAATTAAACTCTTGAAAAATAGTGATGTCAATAACAGACTATCAATATTTAACCTGCTCATATTAGCTTAGAATTTACAGTGCTACAATATTCAATTCATGGGATGTATTTAATAGTATTACCTCATTTTATAGGAATCGAAACATCAGAGCAGGGAAAACATTACAACATAAAATTTATTTTGTATAGGGCAACAGAAATATTAGAATAATCCTGGGGTTGAAAACTCACATTATAAAGCTTTGCCAAGGAGAAAAAGTTGCTGATTTATAAATCATCAAATCATGAATTCAGTATGCCAAAATCTTATTGGTAGGATAAATAGAAAGCTATTTAAAAGGATAAAATAGAAATAATTTCTTGAACAGAAATTTTTTACTTTAAATTTTTTATATGGGCTACAGTTAAATATAATATAATATTATATATATATGCACACACACTTATCTACTTAAAATATCTTCAGTAGCAAAAATGAACTGTATTTATAATAGGCCAGAAATGGTAGTTTAGCTCAGTCTTTGGTCAGTATCTTTGATATGATAGAGAAATATGGAAATTTGCCTTTATAAACTATTTTTCAAATTTAAATTAATAATACCCATTTTTTACTGTGACTAATCAATGAATCTAAGAAAAACTTTGGTAAAGACACAGAAATCACAGAAAATGAAGCTAAAAATTTCCTTGCTTTGATTCCTTTGCTAAATAGCTCTGAAAACACTATGAAAGAATTGTACTCTCAGTAATTGAAGCCACATTTCATTTGGGAAAACAGGAAAGCCAGCAGCTCAGAGGAGCTAGAAAAAGCAAAATAACATCAGGTATTTTGACACATGTGTGTGATCCTGTACTCCTAGCACTGTGGGAGGCTGAGGCAGGAGGATCAAAGTCAAAGCTAGCCTGGGCAATTTAGTGACTTGTTGAGACCCATCTCAAAATAGAAAAAAAAAAGGTTGGGGACATAGCTGAATGTGTGAAGACCGTGGATTAAATCACCAGAACACAAAGAAGGAAGAAGGAAAGAAGGCAGGGACAGAGGGAGGGAGGAAGGGAGGGAGGGAGGAAGGGAGAGAAGGAGGGAGGGAAGAAGGAAGGAAGGAGGGAAGAAGGAAGGAAGGAGGGAAGAAGGAAGGAAGGAAGGAAGGAAGGAAGGAAGGAAGGAAGGAAGGAAGGAAGGTAGCAAGGGAGGGAGGAAAAAGAGAAAGAGAAGTGACAAAAGACTTGCACATATCTTTTTTGCAGCACTGAGACCTGTCATTTGTCATTTAGATTAGTTGTTTCACTGAATCTATAAAATGACATATATCTGATCCTTCATCCACATGAACGCAACCAGAGATAAAGGCGATTTGCTCATTTCTGCTGTGCTAACAATGTACAGTGTCCGTCAAGGAAAGCTACCTAATTCTTTACCTTTTCAAGGGCACAATGGGGAATACTTACTTTGTTTGAAGATATTTTTACATTACATAGCTACAATTCAGTAACTACAATAAGCTCCACAAAAAACATAGTGAAACATTGTAGTGAAATAAATCTCAAAATAACATAACATGTGCTTAGGTATCTCCTCAAGCTCAGCCATAAATCAAGTTTCCACGTTAACACTTATTAACAACTATGCATTAATTCTAGGTGTAGGTTTTCCATTAAAGACATGGGATGCTTCATTGTCATGTTAGCAAGCTGCATGTTGCCCAGGAGCAGAGTGTGCAGTCAGCAGATGCTGCCCAGCAGTAAAGAAGCATTTTGATACCCAGACTTTCTGAAGGCCCCCTAAGGAGCATACGCTTGCTTACATCTTAGGAAAGTGCATCAGACTTCCTTTCCAGTTAAGGGTTTGAATGGTAAGATATTACAACTTACCATCTTTGTAGACTCTGTTAATTTCTCTGATTTCTCTATTCTTTCTTGATACCAAAATTTCAATGAGGGTGTCTTCATCAGTTCCAAGACCCTGAATTAAAGGAAAAGGAAAGCAATGATATGTAGGGAAAAAAATTTTATTCAAAAAGATCAATTAGTTTTTATATCACCAAATATATTGAATTGGCCATTTAGTAAATTTTACCCAACATATTTAATAACTATGGTAAGCTCTATTTATTATATTGCTTTAATGCAAAATATGCAGCTAATTTGGGGTAGAGATACTGAACAGATATTTGACTCACATAGTGACATTACAAGGAAGATATTAATGCCAACATTTATTCCTTTATGTTTCTATTGATCCATTCTTTGACATTAATGGATTCACTCATTAAATTCTTACTTATAAAAAAGCAGTGTAGTAGACACTGAAGACAAAGCAGAATATGCAAGAGTACACAGGGGTCCGCAGACTTTGTCCGCTGTGCTAGGACAGGAGCTTGGCCTAAGTCGGTGGGTTACCTTCATGGCAGCACGGAGCTCATCTGCATCAAACTGGGCAGGAGTTTTCAGCAGAGCTAAAACCACTTCCTCTAGATGACCTTTGAGGGCTTTCTTCAGCGCTTCATCCAGTGGCTGTTAAAAAAAAAAAAGTTTAAAACTAGGGTTTCTAATGTCTTAGTTTAGGCAACAGCATGGAATTACCTGCTTCTAGGTCATTTTGGGACAGGCCCCTAAACTCCCTAATTGTTCACTTTTTTTTTCATACTGAAAAGCACACTAGATATGAGAACTTCCATCTTCACATTTTAGGTCTAGTAGGATTAAATTACATTTACTGAATCCACTGGGGACTTCATGCATCCTAGGATTCTCAATATTTTTTACAGAAACAAAGTGATGCGTCAACAGGAACCATACTAAGAATAATCTAAACAGGGTGTATTCATTTTTCTATGCTCTGAGATTTTCCCATTGCTCAAGTAAGCATTATAATCCATAATTGACATTTTACAGTTTTCTTTTCTTTAAATTATTTTAAAAATAGTAGTAGTAGTAGTAGTATTGGTATTGGTATTGGGGATTGAATTCAGGACTTTCCACTTGTCAAACAGGCACTTAAGCCACTGAGCTATATCCCTAGCCCCTACAGTTTTCTAATTGCACTAATTAAAAAAAGAAAATGAAAAAACAACTGCCTACATTTGCTGTAAGACACAAAGTTCACGTCTAAAGGAGAATTGCATACAAATTTTTGATTTCAGTATTGCAGGTCACTTTGCATTTTAGCAGAAGTTACAGTTCAGTGAAAACACAGTACTTATGACTTATGGTAATTCTGATGTTTGTTAGGTTAAAATTGAGGACCCGCCTCCACTATAAAACTTCACATCTGGAAGGAATCCGCATCAGGATGAGAGGGGCATGAAGCCAGTAAATTTGTTAGAATTGATCCAGTGGAAGCCAAGTGGATAAGCACTGCTTGTCTGAGAGGTAAGGGGGCAACAACAGCTACCAACAGGAAGACAGAGATAAACATGCTTCGGAATCCATGTTGCTGCATGAACTCGAGCCAAGTCCACTGTCTACCTTGACCATTGCGACCTACCTTCCCTTTTTCCTGGAGGTAGGCTGCTTTGATCTGCTGACGCTGGGCGTTGTTTCTCTTCGTCAGAATCTCAATGATGGTTGCTTCATCCACACCTGGAAGAGTCCCCAGGTGTTAAACTCAATTTACTATACCCAAAATTGTTCCTTTGCAAGATATGACAGAGGCAAGTCTTAACAAACTAAAAAGTATAAATTATATCATCCTAGGAATCAAACACTACACTTCTTACCAACTTCCAAGCCTTATAATGATAATTATTCATTTGAGTGAGAAATGAAAAGCCAATAAATTGCTCCTTGACTGAGCTGTTAAAGTATCTGATCCTAGTTCAAATCCTAAATTCCATCAACTGTGTTGATTCTGAATTTTGATACTGAGTTTCTAAGAGTAAACTTGTAAAGATAATAGTCATTGTGGTTTAGTCTATGGATTTAACCATAATTTTCAAAGTACTGAGAAGGAAATGTTTCTTCATTTGACAAAACTTGCATCAGAATGAAAGTTTCATGGAGCTGGGGAGATAGCTCAGTGGAATAAGCACTTCTCTGGCAAGTACAAGGGCCTGAGTTCAAACCCTGGTTCTACCAAAAAAAAAAAAAAAAAAAAAAAAAAAAAAAAAAAAAAAAAAAAAGAAGAGGAAAGTTTCTTGCCATTGTTCCTATCTGTTTTCTGACAATCATTCACACAGCTTCTCTGAAAGGTCCAGGATAGGCCTATTTTCAGGAAACACACTCACCTTTTACTGTTATGGCTTTGTGCAAAGCCTCAACATCAGAGGAGGGATTAAAGCCAGGGTAGGGGCTCACGGCAGACCCAGGACCACCTTTGGATGTTTTCACAGTTTGCTAAGGATCAGAGATTCATATATCAAAATCCATTCACTTGCAGTAGTTTCAAATTTTAATACTGTAACTATATCACCTTATTGTCATTCTACTTACAACATATTCCTGTTCTTGATTGTCCATAAAGTAGGCCTGCTTGAGGAATTCTGATACCATTGCCATTTTGAAGAAGTATCTAGAAAGAAAACAGCACATGCTTTTAGAAAAAAAGCCACCCAAAACACTTCTTCTCCTTAGATACACATGATATAGTATTATTGAATAGTCTTGTCTTTTCTTGCTAGGATTAAATTTAGGAACATCAAACATGGGCAGTATAAGCATTTTTAAATGATCATATGCTTCAAAAGATGTCCTGAGCCTCGAAGCAGAAACTGGGCTCTTTCTTGGCATAGGCAGCCCTGAGCCCGAGGGATCAGATGACTACCACAAGTGCCTGCTTGCTGAACAGAAGAGAAGTGGTTCGCTTCTAGTACTCGATTCACAAGCCAGCCAACCATTAGGCGAACTCTCAGGATGCAGAAGCACGGAGATACTATCCTTCCCCACACGGAGCATAAAGCTAGGGTGTTCTCTGCCAGGAAAACCACAAAGGCTGAGAAACCTCTTAGAGGAAGTGTAGGCCAGGCAAAGCCTCTCTTGAAATGACTCAAAATTAATGTAGCAGAAGCATAAAGAAAATAAAACGGAGAGAAGCTTGTCACTCTAAGGAACTTAAAAACAAAGATCCCTGGAGCAAGAAGTACTAACAGCAGCTGGAGCCAAGATGTCTAAATGCACATCCAAAGCTTTGATAAGTGTTGATAGACAGCAACTTGACTCTAATTGTATCTTAGAAAAATCATTTACCCTACATCATGTGGACTGGCTAAGAGATACATAAAATAAAGATTAGAGACCGCCTAGTAGGCCATTAGAGAATCTATGTACGGTTAAGTAGGCCTGTAGAAAAGGAATGCCCAGAGAACAACCATAATATTGACATTTATAAGATAAAATAAGATGGGACAATCTTCAGGAGAGAGTTCACCCAAAACAATCCATGTCTTTTTTCAAAAGAAAAAAAAAAAACAGTTTCTTTCAGCCAGTTCTTTATTAAACCAATTTCAACACATGGAGTAACTGATGTTTCTTATTTCCTCCTGTCTGAGCTGTGTAACCATAGCTGTATACGTTTTTCTCTCAGATGCAAAACACCAGGAAGAGAGTTCATTTATGCCTGGTTTTGTTTGAACAAGGAGTGGGTGAAATTGCAACATATATGATTTTGACAAAGTCTATCTTAAAGGAAGCTTCTTAGATAGCTCTGGTGTTCTTTGCTGTATTTTTGTTTAGTGGAATATGTATTTTTAAAATTATGAACTATATTAAAATTTAATGAGTTCCATGTTTTGCCCACACATGCAAAAACAGACATTAGGGGACCAGGGAGATGGCTCAGTGGAATAAGCGCTCCCCTGGCAAGTGCAAGGGCCTGAGTTCAATCCTCGGTTCCCTTAAAAAAAAAAAAAAAAAAGACATCAGTCATCAGTGCTCTTATTGTCCCGAACTGTGTTGTTAGGTGTCCATATTGAAGGTCTCTACTAAACTGTCTCTCCACACCCTTTTGCTTTATCCCTCCCAACATGCTATGAGGAATTCTTGCAGGGGAAGTTAGAAAGGCAATCTGTCATTGTAAACTCATGACATGAAGCTAAGTGACTCATGAGAAGTAAAATTCGTAAGCTAGTACTTAACAGCAAGTTCAGACAAAGCCTCAACCCATGCCTGCTGACAAATGCCTGCAGTCCCAAGTAATGAGATTAAATACCTGAGGGGAAAACTGCAAAGCAGAAACAGCCTCTACTCAATTGTCCTGGATTGTGCCAATTATTTTGTCACCTGTGAGAACTACCAATATATTTTGCATTCTTTTAATACCCTTTCTTGTCTCCAGCAATCAATACATTTAAAGTTGTTTCCTAAGGTAAAGTCATGCTGTGCAACTTTGCACAAGATTTTACCTCTCATTACAACCAAATCTGGTGCAATCACTGTTGCCACATGGAATTGCACATTCCAGCTGCTTATTTGGCACATCCAAAGCTTCAAAGCATTTCTAGCAAAGATTCACGTCTCTGAAATTTCCATCTTCATTAGCTCATCTCAGCTTTTAATAAAGGAAGATCCCCAAAATGAATGATATGATTGATCCCTTGGCAAAAAACAAAACAAAACAAAAAAAAAAAAAATTCCACCTCTCATAAAACACATTTATTCTGTTCTTTTGCATTAGAAAAGAAAAACTTCAAAATAGCAAAGGAAATACTGATGGTATTTTTAAATATAGATGAAAGTGAGTCTAACAACTTCACAATGAAATTTTGAAAACTATAATACTTCATTATGTCTTTCATTTCTAAAAATAATTGCAAAATGCACTGATGTCTTTTTCAAGAGAAAACCTGAGGAAATAATGGCATGGCTATATTAGTTATATAACATAAAGTGACAGAAGTAAGGGGTTTGCATAATTGATTTGATACAAGAAAGTGTCCCTGGAGGAGGCTGTTCTGTGATTTATACATTCTGTGTTGCTATATTCTAGCTTGAATATTTTAGACTACCTATAAGGACAGTCTAGAAAAGGGGAGCATTTGGAATAGAAGCCTTTTCAGGAAGGCCAACAGAGAAAAAACAGAAGCTGAAGTCAGCCAAAGAATGTCTCCTGGCTCTGAAGACACCAGGTTCATGGCAGGATATAAGAAATTGCTCTAGAGGAAACAGATTTTAACAAGTCTTGCTCTTATTGCCCAAAGTCAGTTGCATAGACTGAGAGAAAATTTGCCCAATTTACAAATACCACAGCAAGGAATAATCTGGCCAACTTTCATTGCAAAAGCACATTGTATGAAAGTCAGAGTAATCCTGGGAGTTTTCCCTTTTTCGGTCCTTTGACTATAAAACTTAAAACTTGTCCTACTAGTAGAATTTGAAAATCCTATATTGTCATCTTATTTTAGCCCAATAAATATGTTAATTAGCAACCAAAGAACTCTGGAGCCAAATGTATTTCCATGAGTACTATCAGCACATTTCAAGATGAAATGAAGCCCTTTCTGCATAGACTTTTCTACATATGTCTATGTAGAGGACTTTATTCTGTATTTCTTTCAGATAATCATCTTTTTTTAACACAAGCTAGCTGCTAATCTGAGTTTATCCGTGAGTAAAATATGTAGCTTTTTGAGAATTAACAATTTTGTACATTTTTGTGTCCCAAGAGAGAACCCAGTTTCTTTTTCCGTCCTCCTAGTCTCAATAAAAGCCTGCTTCTAGAATACAGGTCAGAGGAAGCTGAGTACTTTCCACATACCATCTTGGTTGCAAGGGCTATGTCTCAATATAAATTGCATAATTCACAAAAAGCAAAATGACCGAGTAGAACATTTCATGTGAGATGAAAGAAATATGCCTGGAGGATATATATATATATATATATATATATATATATATATATATGCAAGAACTATCAGAGTTCTATGACAGTAGAAGCAAGTAACCTGTGTTTGGAACAAAAACATCATCACATCGTCATTATCGATCTAGGAAATACAGTGTTAGTACCAGGAAGTTTTCCAGTTCCCCATGGCAAGAATGATGACATCAATCCAGACCTTCTGATTCCAGATTGTTAATTCTTTAAATTAGCAAACAAAATGACAATGGCAAGGCCAGTATTAGTCTTAATAACACCCCTGAGAGTCAAACTCATCAACAGTCAATGTTTGGGGACTGTGTTAGGCTTCACTCCAGCCCTAGGCGTTTACTTTTGCCTTGTGCATAGCTTTTCCTTGAAGGTGCATTTCACAAGTTGGCCTCACACGGACACTCTGAAAGAAGCCAGTTAGACTATACCTGTCATGACTCTCAACAAACACTACAAAATGTTGGCTCATACTTGCTTTGCTTCTAGGCTTTTGGATAAAGAGTTCTTTTCTCTGGAATATTCTTTCTTCCTGAAGAATCACTTCCTTTTGCCTAACCATTGCTTCTAACTGAAGACTCATAGCAGAGCTGTTACATCTTCCAGAAAGCCTTAATCAGTCCTGAGCATTGGCCTGGCCCCTTCATCCTGTATTACCATGTTCTATTGACTTGATATTATTCCCAGCAGACTTTCATGAGAGAAATGAGCAAAGGTACTATCCACCAAGCACTTCTAAGGCCAAGTACTTAGTACTGGCTGCCCCTAAGTCTTCTTTAATTAATATGCATGCATCTTCACGAGTACTTTAGGACACATCTGCACTAAGGGAACAAAGTTCTCACAAAGGGATAGAAACATAGTGCTGAGGTCCTGCGGACTTCGCTTTTGCTTCTCTGACAATCTGACCTCAAGAAAACAGAGCTTCTCCAAATGGCCTTCCCTTACAAAATAGGAAAATTAGAATAAATAGTATACAAGATCCATGATCAGTCTGAAGCGACAATATTAAATTCTACTTCAAGTACATGGTGCCGGAAAAAATTAACTGATGCACGAGGGCACTATGCAAATTGGATTTGTTTAGATTCCAATAAAATCCATCAATTTTAAAGGAAAAGGAAATGGTTTACTTCAAAAGCCGTTTGTAGTTTGTCATTAAGAGGCAACAGGCTCATTAGTCTTGCCTTGAGTTTAAATACATGATAAGTTAATGGGCCTAGAGATAATTAAGAACAATCAGCTTAGATAGTTATTATATACAGAAATCAGTGTTTGCAGATGTTTTGATTGAAAAAGTACTTAATAAGCATGAAACTATAGCTGGTTCCTTAATAATGTTGTTCTTATTTTATCAGCATCAGTCATATGTTGGAAACTCGCCAGATGTGGCTAAGCCTAGAGCTAGCTAGTAACAACTTCCGGAGAAGAAACCATTTCTGCATGATGACAACAACATTTTGCCACATTTGAATCAGTTGCAAAATGCCTTCTTCCATAGACCACAAGACACATTCCTGTGGATGGAAGGGAACATTGTTCAAGCTCAATTTTAGGTACAATCAAGACAAGAAAAAAGTGTATCTGTCTTAGCCATTCTCACAAATTAAAAACCAAGGCATTTGACTAAAGTTTAAAATAGGCAAAAAAAAAAAAAAAAAAAAAAAACCAAAATACTTGAAGGAACATTTTTATTAAGCAGTAGCCAAGTATCTGACTGTGATTCATAGTCTTTCACTTTTGCAAATATGCACAAAACCACTGAAACGCTCAGCTATACTTTGTATTCTTTAAGAATTTATATGACCATTAGCTCATTCAGCAACCAAGATGCTATTAGGTGGAGCAGGTTTTAGAGGGCACTGCTGGCATTTTCGTGGAACACTCTGTCTGACATCACCCAAGAAATGTTTCCTTTCTCCTTAGGTTTTCAAACCAGCACTGGAAAAGCCTGTCTGTGACACAGATACAGGAAAAAGAATGTAGCCACACCCTGTTTAAATGAAATGAGTACTAAATGGACCTTCTTAACTTGTGTGAGTAAACATAACATTAATTTTAAAAACGTTAATTACAAAGGCCACAACTGCCACACTGAGATCTGAATCTATTTAGTTTTCCTTACAAAAGCAGAAAATAAATTACAGAAGTGCTGCTATTGGGTAGTTCCTTGCAACATACCTTCCTCAGGTTTGTTTTTCTGGACCCCTACAGGCAGCCAAAGACTGATTTCCTTGTAAGATAAAAGTGCACATTCCAAGGTGGGGGAGAGGAAACAGCACATTCTTTAAAAGTTTCAGAGGTTAAGCATATTTTTTCCGTCTTTACCATGGTAACTGAACAGCAAAATAAAGTTATATTTACCATGCCTTATAAATTGTGTTTTTTAACAAGTAAAACAAAACATTGCAGTTTATAGTTCTTAAAATACGGGTTTTCAAAGTACATTAAATGCAAGTAGCCATAAATCCTGTAAAAGCAGTAACATTAAATGGTCATGAAACTCCAAGTAAACCACAAAGCAATTCCAAAGAAATTTTTGTTAGTGTTTGAAAACTTCTCAGAGCAAGAGAAACTCCCTAAAAAGAAAACCAAGGCTTACCCTTTCTTCTACCTTCTTCCAAAGAACTCAAGAGAGGCTCTTCCTGGTGCTTTCAGTGGATCAGGGAAGCTCTGGACTGATTTTATAGGGTTTGAACAGAGGCCACGCCTAGCAACCAGAAGTTAGTAATTGGCTGTCGTTTGTTTGAAGTACAAGGCTCAGCCTTGTCCGAAAGCAAAACGAGACAAGTCTTGCAAAACTACTAAATCAGTCAGCTGATAACATAAGGGGAAAGAAAAGTGGACAGCAGATTGTTTCCCCTCTTTCTTTTGCAGCCCACTCCCCCAGGAGTAGAAGGCAGGAGTTTCAGGTATGTGAAGCTATCAGCCCCAATCCTAACACAATTACTGATGCACTTCTCCAGCTAAGTAGAATAAAATGTATAGTGATGTAAAGAATTTTTTAAAAAGGAAAATACTTAAGCTTGCATTCCCGCTCCATTGCTTACTACTGTGAGAGCTGGTGGGTCTATTTCATTTCCCTGAACTTGCAGCTACTATTTATACAGGAGTACTATTCCCGAGGCTGCCTACTTACTAGAGTTTTTGTGACAATTGTATCAAATACATGAGTAAAGAAAAATAATGTGTATGGTGTGATCAAAATACACCACTGAATATTTAAATTAAAAAGCACAGTGTCATTCATTTGTCTCACAACATCTTCCCTGGCCTCAGATACACACAGCCCAAGTTCTCACCGTTTTCCGAAGCAGCTATGGACATTTGCCCTTCTGTGTGTCTTTCATTGCAGCCGTTGCTACCCGGATTTCCTGAAACTGATTCAAAATGTTTATGGCAATTTCTGTCAAATAAAAACTTGATGGTGTTTCCTCATCTACTTTATTCATCAGACCTGGGTCTTGTGTCCTCCCAGTCTCTCCCCAAAGTCAAAATGAGCACAAAAGATAAGCCATTGTGTTGGTTCAGCACAGGGAGACAGGTGACAACAGTTCAAGCAAACATGATCAGTCACAAAGAGGACTTCCAGAACTGCTCCACAACATGGCAAGATACTCATTCCTTTTGTAAAAGTTGTATCTCCCCATGTCCTTATCTATCTTTCATCGTGCTTTTAAATTTAATGTGAGGAGTTGGCGAGATAGCCCAGAGGTCTAAGTGCCTGTGTGGCAAGCCCAAGGGTTCCATACCGAACGCTGTTCGGATGTGGCCGCGGAACCCTGGGCTTGCCACTCTGGCCACAGACACTGAGGGTGGTGGCCCGCGCCTATAATCCCAGCACCGGGGAGACTGAGATAGCAGGAGGCTCACTAAGAGTCTTAGCTGTGTAGCAAGACCCTGGACCAAATAAATAAGTAAATAATTTCATTTCCTTTGGCTTTCTCATACAAGGGAAACCACGTGATATTTGAGCTAGTGTGTGTGACTTACTTCACTTAGTAGGTAATGGAGGAAATTAAAAAAGATTTGGGTGTGATATGTACATGTAACAACTCTCCACAGTGAATGTAATTATTGTGCATTGTGTACATGTACTAATCAAAAAGAAAACACTTCAAAAATACAAAAAGAAAATTACAAAAGTGATGGCATAAGTTTGTCCTACACCACAGGAACATTCTGAGAGAGATTAATGGCCATATATTTTTTATCATCATAAATTTAGAAAATAAGGTTCTCTGCAGTTTTCAATCACAACACATATTTATAAGGTGTGATATTATGCAGTGATTAATATATCTCTGTTTATACTTCACAAGCATTTTTCTTACCTTCAGAATGAAATTTTTTTGTATCTGCATGTAAATAACAAATATAAAACATAAATATCCAAATTGATTCAAAACTTTGAGCAAAGTTAGCACAAAAATTTGATCACTGATATTACTATTTATTACTTTGATTACTTAATCACTGCCTTCAGTAAAAGCATTGATGTTAGAGAAGTCCTGTCTAGAATAATTTTTAATAAAATAAGTTGTGTAGAAACTTGGATACAAATAGGTCCCTGACATTTTAGAGTAGTTGAACAATTAAACAAGGAACTAGAACAAAATAAAACTGAAATGATTAATAGAGGAGCGGCTATCACAGAACAGGTACTCTAAGAAATTTCCCACTTAATGTAAGGGAATACAGGAAATGATTCATTCTTATTCTTGATGAAACCTTACAAAGTAGTATATGATGTTTGCATTGAACTATGCGCAAGTGTCATCTCTCTTAGTCCATTATGCCTCCATTTATTCTAGTAGTTGGCGTTTTCTCCTCTGTTCTTCAGAGATATCTCAGGTAATTATGTTTCAATCAAACATAAGTCAATCAAAGTACCTTTTTA